TATATATATATATATATATATATGAAGAGTTCAGATGCAAAAGCCGCTAAACACCACCTCCGTCAAAAATGAGATAATGACATTGAGCGAAAGCTTTCTGCACATAGTAAACGTTCAACAAATATTTTTGCTTCAAATCCTCTAAATCCCAGCCTCAGCCCATTCAGAAATATCAGTTTGTTGGCAAAAGCCTCTAGACGCCAATTCCCTTTGGCAGCAAAAGCCGCTATGTTCCGAGAACCAATCAGAAGGCGTGAATCGAATCTTTTTTTGAGGAGATTGTTTTAGATTCAGATTCAGATTGAGATTTGTAACATTTTTAAGATGGAGTACGATGAAATGGATGAGCCTGTCCTACTGACATTAAATGGCAGAAGAAAACGTCGTTTACCTCAAAACTCTGGCCGTTACAAGGCAAAAGAAAAAATAAACTGGAAGTGGCTTGGTCGCAAGTGTAGCATGCACTCATAACAGTTCTTCATGCAGTGCTACTTTGAAGGAATCTGATTTATTATACATCAAACAACAGCTCTATTTCACCAACGACAAAGTCAAACAAGATGACATTCTTCTGTCTCATATGGATGCTATGCCATGTAAACGGAGGAGACAACAAGTGGAGGCTGAAGAGAAGAGACAACAAAGAGATGTGTTGATCAATTATGCCGTTTTAAAAGAAGATAAAGCGAAAGTATTATTCATTCCTGAGCATTTTCTGAAAGTACAAAGATTTCCTCATCACAATAGTTACTAGTTTTTCCTATTTTTGCATTAGTGCCTTATTATTTGTATTATTTTTAATGTTTTATTTATTTATTTAAAAAAAATGTACGTTGTCAAAGCCATGTTTATCCAATTATCTTCCTCTAGTACGTGCTCAGTACACGGGCTATTTTTTCAGCAGTTATTATCTGGTAATGCCTCTCTGCGGTATTAAAGGGGTCATATGATCTTTTTTAAAGATCATTATTTAGTGTATTTGATGTAACAGAATAAGTTGACATGCTTTAATGTTCAAAAAACACATAATTTTTCAAATACTGTACATTATTGTAGGTCCTCTATGCCCCGCCTCTCTCAAACGCTTCGTTTTCTACAAAGTCCCTCCTTCTGACAAGCCAGTCTGCTCTGATTGGCCAGCTGATCCAGTGCATTGTGATTGGCCGAACACCGCAAGCACTCTTCGGAAATGTAATGCCCCTTACCATAATCGCGAGCTTCATCTTTGTAAAGACATAAATGTAAAGACAGAGCCCGAAAGGGGTCTCGCGACAGACACAGTGATGAAGCTGGTATGTGTTTGCAGTAGTGTTGTCAAAAGACCCGGTATATTTCGGTACCAAGTCGGTACTAAAAAAATTCAAACGTTACGGTACCAGGTTTTTTAGAGTACCCGGTCAACCCGGTTCTTGATGCGCTATCAGAAAACTATCCTCTTCCAGTGTTGCCAAGTCCGTGGTTTTCCTGCGGAATTGGGCTGCTTAACACTGTTGCAGCCCAACCTGAACAGGTTGTTTTTCATGTCCGCGGGTTGAAAAACGACCCCACTAACGTGATATTTAGCCCCTGGAATGCGAATTACCAGGGGAACCCCGCCAAAACATGCGTATTTTAAACTCCGAACGCGATTGGGCGGGTTTTGTTGTGAAAACCTGGCAACCTCTTCATAAAAGCAGTGGCGACCTCAAGAGGAGGAAAGCTGTGGAAGGTCACGCGGTCGTGGGTTTGGCCCTGGCGGCGGTAGACGGAAGTTGGAGTTTGGATCAGAGGATCATGGCGGCTAAATAAAGCAATTCAAAAAATACTAAGAATAAAGCTTGTGGACATCAAACGGGTAATGGATCAGAGAATTTAAGAATGGATGATACAGGTGAAGAGGAGGATGATATGGAGGTAGGGCGGACACAGATAGAGGGAAGATCAGGAAAGAAGGAATCTAAAAAGAGGAAAAAAGGTAAGGAGGAAGGATCAGAAAGTAGTTCGGTAGCGAGTGAGGAAGAAGGGGATGGAAGAAATAAGGTCATAGGAGGATTTAGGGTAATATTAAAATTTAAAGAAGCGGTAGGAGTTTCAGGAATAAATCCGTTGGCGTTGACATGAATTGAGGAAATTAGTAGGTGAGATTAGCCCCTGGAATGCGAATTACCAGGGGAACCCCGCCAAAACATGCGTATTTTAAACTCCGAACGCGATTGGGCGGGTTTTGTTGTGAAAACCTGGCAACCTCTTCATAAAAGCAGTGGCGACCTCAAGAGGAGGAAAGCTGTGGAAGGTCACGCGGTCGTGGGTTTGGCCCTGGCGGCGGTAGACGGAAGTTGGAGTTTGGATCAGAGGATCATGGCGGCTAAATAAAGCAATTCAAAAAATACTAAGAATAAAGCTTGTGGACATCAAACGGGTAATGGATCAGAGAATTTAAGAATGGATGATACAGGTGAAGAGGAGGATGATATGGAGGTAGGGCGGACACAGATAGAGGGAAGATCAGGAAAGAAGGAATCTAAAAAGAGGAAAAAAGGTAAGGAGGAAGGATCAGAAAGTAGTTCGGTAGCGAGTGAGGAAGAAGGGGATGGAAGAAATAAGGTCATAGGAGGATTTAGGGTAATATTAAAATTTAAAGAAGCGGTAGGAGTTTCAGGAATAAATCCGTTGGCGTTGACATGAATTGAGGAAATTAGTAGGTGAGATAGAGTTTGCAAAAGTGCTGCAAGAGGGTGCTTTATTGATAGTTTGTATGAATGAAGAACAGAAAAACAAAGCTATAAAACTAAAAGCAGTGGGAAAGCAGTCGGTGATGAGCTTTAAGATTGTAGGACAGACATTGTGGGTGTTTGGTGTGATAAATGGCGTTCCGTTTGGAGTTAATATGGAGGAATTAAAAAAGAATCTAGATGGAGGAAAGGTCATTGATGCAGTCCGTTTACAGATGAATAGAGATGGAAGAAGAGTAGATAGTTTGTCAGTGCGTCTAAAGTTTGAAGGGAAAGAATTGCCAGATCGGATTAAGATGGGGTTTATCAGCTACCCGATTAGGGAATACATAGCCCCACCGTTGAGGTGTTATAATTGTCAGAGGTACTGCAGCAGTATGTAAAGCTAAAATTAGACGTGCGCGGTGGGTGTGAGGTAAGGAAAAGAGCAGTAGAGGTACAACAGGAGATTGTTAAAAATAATCTAACTTGTGCTGAGGCTGTAAAGGTAGTAAGGGTTAGGAATAAGCCAAGTGGGACAGAACGAATGGTGTATGAAAAGAGAAGTGAAGATACAGGGAAAAATGGATAGGGAGGAGTAACAGAAGATACAATGTTGGTAAATAAAAAAACAGTTTGTGCTCTTTATGGTAGAGTTAATTAACTGTACTGCCCAAACGGAAAAAAGAACAGAAAAGATACAAATAATTATCAAGGCAGCAGAAAGATTTCTAGAGATAAAGGGTTTGAAGTGTGAAGACATTAGGAAGAGTCTCAATACAGAGTCTCGGTCAAGCCAGGAGTTATGGGTTGGATAAAAGGTTTGTTAACTATCTTACAATGGAATGCTAGAAGCCTTTGTGCAAATGGTCAAGAGTTTAAAGGATATATTAGTCAAATGAAGGAAAAGCCAGATATTATATGTATACAAGAGTCATGGTTGAATTCTAGGTTAGATTTTGTGTTAAAGGGGTATGTAAGTGTGAGAAGGGACAGGGAAGATGGTAAAGGTGGGGGTTGTGTTACATTTATAAAAGAAGGAATGCATTACAGAGTTGTGGAGAAGGGTGATTATGGAGTATATAGTTGTAGAAGTATGGTCTGGAATGAATAACTTCACATTTATGTAAATTAATGGAAAAAAGTATTACTGACCGGTTGATGTATAATATGGAGAAGAATAACTTTTTCTCTGCATATCAAAGTGGTTTTAGACGTGGAAGAGGAACAATGGATTCAATTATCAAATTAGAATAAGATATTAGGAAAGCTTTGATCAATAAAGAAACAATAATAGCAGTTTTCTTTGATGTTGAGAAAGCTTATGATATGTTATGGAAAGAGGGTTTGCTAATTAAATTAGATCAAATAGGAATAGGGGGAAGAATATATAATTGGATTAAAGAGTTTTTAATTGAGAGAAATATTAAAGTAAAGGTTGGAGATTATATTTCAAGGGAGGGAAGTATTGAGAATGGCACTCCGCAAGGAAGTGTCATAAGTCCTTTGTTATTTATAATTATGATTAATGATGTTTTTGCAACAATAGGTGAAAATATAAATAAATCTTTGTTTGCAGATGATGGAGCTTTGTGGCTTAGAGGTAGGAATGTTGAGTATATTGTTAATAAAATGCAAAGAGTTTTAATAAATGTTGAAAAATGGTCTTATAAATGGGTTTTTTAATTTTCTGTAGATAAAACTAAATATATTTTCTTTACAAATAAAAGAAGAAGTATAGATTTAAAGTTGAAATTATATAATAAAGTGAATACAATCACAAGCTTTGAGAATTTGTTGTGGAGCTTATACTTCCTCCTCAGTTCCAGCATTACAGGTGGAGATGGGGGAAATGCCGTTTCATCTAAGAAGGAAACAATAGATTTTGACGTATTGGGCAAGCTTAAAAGGTCAACAGGATAATCATCCAATAAAAGGATTACTTGAGATTTGTTGGGAGCATGGAAAAAGGAAAATTAATAGTTTTGGTTGGATCATTAAAGATTTAGTGCGGGAGATGGAACTAAATGAGTACAGAGTTATTCCAACGGTAATTTTACCAACGATACCTTTATGGATTTTACCACAACCAAAAATTGATTTATTCTTATTGGAAGCAAGACAAGATAAAGAGCAGGAGTTACTAGAGGCAGAATTGACAAAACAATATATTGGGATTAATTATGAACGAAGAAATAAGAAGAAGAGGAGGAAATGCGCATTATGTCAATCCCATAAGCACGTATTCTGTTCCACACTCCAGTCCAGTCGGTGGCGGTAATGCACCTACAAGTTGGTTTACCAACTGCCAAGAAACACCAAAGAAGAAGAAGAAGAAGAAGAAGAAGAGGAGGAAGAGGAAGAGGAGGAGGAGGAGGAAACCCATCAAACTAACAAAACACCCCGATCAAGTTCAAGCAGGTAAGTTTCGATTACATTTTTCATATTTAGAGCTTCTGTTGGGAATATTATTCCATATTTTAATTTTAATTTCGGATTGAAATAAACATCGCCGTTAGCATATACGTAGTTAATCGTTAGCATAAACCGGTGTTACGAGATTTTTGGTTTCATTAGAATGAATTTTGTTCAAAATT